TTTAAATGGGTAAAAAAAAATGGGCTTTGAGCTAGAACAGTGTCAGCATTCAGAGCAAGTGCTTCACAAAGAGCTTTTAAACACTTGACTTCAAAATTCCAAGTCAGTCAAGACTAGGTGTGGTATCCCATGCCTTTATATCCCACCTCTTGGGAGGCAGAGGCAGGCGGGTCTTTGTAAGAATAAGGCCAACCTGGTCTACATAGTGAGTTTCAGGCCAGATGATGCTACAGAGAGACCCTGTCTCAAAAAATAAAATAAAAGTAATAAAACAATAAAACCAAAATTCTGAGTCAGGTAGTTGCTAGATCCAATCTTACTATGTAACCTAGAACTCTCTGTGTAGACAGGTTGGTCTCAGATTCACAGAAATCTGCCTGCCTCTGCCTCCCAAGCGCTGGGATTAAAGGTGAGCACCACCATATCCAGCTAGAGTCTTAATTTTTATAGAAGTTAGTTTTGTTGAGTTTCTACTATGAGTAACGCATCATGTATATGCACACAGAAATGTATAACTATACCAGCATAAAAGTAAATATGGACAGGACTGGGGATGCAACTCAATGGTGTAACACTTGCCTATTGTGAATAAGGCAGTTGGTTCTATCCCTAGCATTGATTAAAAAAAATAAAATAAAGGAAACATTGTCCTTCCTAGTTTACCAACAAAAGCTGCCTGTTCAAGGGGCTTGTCCAAGATTAATAAATGGAGTCTAATTCCAAGGGCCAAGTTTTCCTTCTATGCCAAAGCTATTCCCCATTTCTAGTATAAAAATTCATAAAATCTTAGTAAAATAGCATTTTCCCAATGGCTTCTTCCATTTCCACCTAGAACATTGGCAAGTTTTACTAGTCCTGGGCTATCTGGAGACCTCACATCTCATCTGGGTGACTGCTGGGGGGCTCCAGGTATAATGCATTTACTCCAATTCTCGCCCACCCACTACATTGCCAAAGCTCACCTGACCAAACTCTATTCTTTTATAGCTCTTTAAAGCAGGAATTACCATTATGACAGTGGATGCTAGAGTTTATTCCTCTGAGATAGCTCATTCATTCATTCATTGAATAAATATTAAATGAGAACTCAATATACAATGCCCTCAACAATCGAAAGCTGTTATTCTTAGTGCCAGCTGTAGAAAGAAGCTCTGTTCATGTTTAGGTAAGCCATCGCCTGCCATTGAAGCACAGATATAGAAGTCACTTTCTCTATGTGTGATAGGCGTATTTTTCAAGCACTTATTCTTTTCTCATTTTATACATGTAGTACCACATTTAAAACTCACAAGAAGCCTATAAATTGGTACCAATGATGTTCCTCTTTTATATATGAGGGAATTAAAGCATTGTGCTGTTATATAAAATAGTAGAATCAGAGTTTGAACTGAACTGTCTCCAGAACTTCTGTCTCTAGTTGCTTTATTTTAGTGTCTCTAGCTTTTTCAAATAATAATTCGGCTATACACATCTTAATTTGCCTTGTATAAGACTGTTTTTCTATCAAAATTAATAGCACTATTTTATTTCAAACGTGTTCTTTGAATAATAAATCATATTATCATATAGGCACCAATAAAAATGCAAATGTTAACTGAATAAGACTGGAATAGGTAAATGATGCAAGACTATTAATTTTGCTGATTTTACCGTAATCAGGGAAATTACTTTCATAATGTGTTCACTGGGGTGTAGAGGAAGCATGGGAAAGAAGGAAAAGTATAAGACACAAGTTAGTAGAGCTTGATTCAAGACCAGGACCTGCCTCTGGACAGATATTCAACAAGAGGCAAGTCACACAACCCAAAGCTCCAGTTTATCTCATGTATTAAGTGGAGTTAGAGGTGTCAAGACCCAGAGTAGCTGTGAAAATGAATCAGATTGTATGGGAACAGGACCTCAAACAGTAGCTTTATCGCTGCAATATAATGAATTCTCCAAACGATAGATGCTTAGTTATTCTTTGGAACATCTTCTAATGCACTATATGCCATTTCTATTGTTAATGAAAATAAGCTCTTGAAGATTTAAATAGTTTTTGAATAGGCATAAAATATTATGGAGCTAATGGAAATGTATATCAATTCCTGCTACAATCTTTATTCTTCAGTGTTATAGTATGAAGATGAATCCAACTCACAATTTTTTCTTTGAAGGCCTTGCAAGATTCTATTAGCCTAAGTGTCTAACCATTCTAGGTGGCCTCACATGTAGGCTGAAATAGTAACACTACACCACAGTACCGGACAGTTATTTTTATTCTAGAATCTAGAACTTCAAAGACTGAGAAGCCAAGGCTTATGACTCATCACGAGGGACCAGAAGGAAATCCCAAAACAATGAGGTAGCATAAAGAAAGCTCTGTCCCTCTGTTCCACTGTGAAAGCACAGAATTGTTTGGAAAGAGATACCATGTTTATAGCTCCCTGTATTGTGTTTAAAGGAGTAAAAAGAGGTAAAAGAGAATGGAGGGGTCTGATTAAATTATAAACCATAAATACCATTATATTACATTAACATTTTCTAAGCTTTTTTAGGCATTTATTTCATTTTTTGTTAGTCTGTTCCCATAGCATGTCTTGGCGAGACAGTAATGTGGCAAGATGATGAAGAATTGTGTATTCTTTCTTAAAAGATGCAAAAAAACGCTAAATTTACAACTGCACTCAACTAAGAGAGTGCTACAATCCCACAGTCTACAAGCCTAAATCAGAGACCAAGCTCTGTGCACACTGTCTAACACAGAATGCTAAACAACTTTGCCAATTACATAACTCACACACCTCCCTGTGGACTTAGTGATTCTCAAACAGCTGGATTGTGAAATGAAGGCCATAAACTAGCTTTTTCCAAGGATAACTTAAAACATGAGGCTATTGTCTCATGACATGCTTCATTACTAAGAAAGTATCATGTTTGATTTTACTTCTTATATAAGTTTGTAGAGGAGAAATAATCAAACACTTTTTTAAGGAAAAAAAAAAAGGAAATCAGAAAAAGAATCCAGGGTCAGGGGTGACAAAAAGGACAACATAGACAGGCGTAGTTTCTGTGCTAGTTTGTCTCTCCATCACTGTAACAAAATACTCTGACCAATACCAACTTGGGGAGGAAGAGGTTTATTCAGCTTACATGTCTGGGGTCACACTTCATCAGGCAGTCCATTGATTACAGAAACAGCACCATGTCCCACCAGAACTTGATGGTAAAACCCTATTGCTGAAGAAACCACAAATTTTGGTCACAAGACAGAGAAACCAAACTGAAACTGAGCTGGAAGCTTTCTGCCACTTGGCTAGCTTTAATAGTGCTAGAAGGTACTACACAGGTTGCTATGTAAGAAAAGTCATCAACAGTGTTACCCAGCTTTCAGCTATGATCTGCCATCAAGATATGCCCTCTAGTGAAATAGTGGCATAACTGTTATAGTAGTAACTACTTTCCGATTGGAATTGAGGCCTACACCACAGGAGGGAATCTATGTCTGGTACTGCTTAGGAGGTCATAGGGCCTAGGAGGTAAATTTACTACTATTGTTTTATTAAATGGTCATATTGTCAAACTGCCTTCTAAATACTTATATCTATATCCATAGATTATCGGTATGCTCAGCTTTCTTGGGAGAAACTTATTGTAGCAGGCAGCAGTTAATACAGACTTGTAACCAGTCAGAGTACTAAGAATAAGCAATGGTGACGTCCTCAGCCCTTAAGTAGGATTTCTACATCGCTCCCTCCCCAGGGCTCAGGGAACATTGTGGAAGAAGGCGGTGGAAAGAATGTCAGAGCCAGAAGACATGGAGATGTGCCACAAAAAGATGCTTCCTAGACATGATGTGCACTCATAAACTCAGCACAGCTGTGCTTCCCATAGAGAGGTAATAAAGAGTAAACATGGTATTCAAGGGAATTGGACGCTCATTTTCTGAATGAGTAACTTCAACAGCAATAGCCTTACAGAATTCAGCAACTGGAATGGTGTAATTTTACCAAACAAGCTTTAAAAACTGACAGAAAACTTTTTTTTTTAAGACATTCAAATTTTATAAGTTTATGAGACTTCACTAGAAGGGCATGGTGGACCTGTAATACCAGCACTTGGGAGACAAAGGCAGGAGGAGTTCAAGGCCAATAACTGTATAGTGAGCTCCAGGCCAGCTTAAGCTACATGGTGAGAGTCTGTTTAAAAATAAATTCCTATTTCAAAAGTTTATAGCAATTTTAACTCAAAACATCTTTTATATAGTAAATACAAATTTCACTCATTGGGGTCCACTTAAATATACATAACACACTTTTACAATTGCAGCTTAGTCATACATTATCAGATATATAATATGCATTTTACTTTAGGTATTATAAAAAAGTTGCTGTTGTTAAAGAGAAACAAAAATGGAATGCAGATGAAGAAAGTATAGAAGATG